GGCGGGCGGGCGGGCGGGTGGGTGGGTGGGTGGGTGGGTGGGTGGGTGGGTGGATGGATAGATGGGTGGGGGGGTGGATGGATGGATGGACGGATGCCTTCGCGCGCATCTGCTTGACTGCCTGCCTGGCGGCCCGCCTGCCTGCCTGCGCATGATTACCCTTGACATGTACATAGGCGTATGCGCAAAGATTCCGCCGTAGTTCGACCCTTGCACCCAAAACCGCAAATCTCGGGCGAGGACGGAGGTGGCGCTCCTGGTGCCTCCGCATTTCAGAGATGTGGCTCTCTCTTCAGACAGGGTGCCTGGGTCTCGGAGCCTAGATGTTTGCTGGTCGAACGTGCTCTGATGCACTTACCGATAGACCGAGGCATCGGCAGGCCCGTAGGGTGCCCCTGGCGCCTCGCAAAAGCGGAGCTTGGCTTTCAGGTGCTCTGTCCTTTGAAATCCTGTTTCGCCTTTTTTGGGTTTTCAGTGTCATTAGAATCACCAGGACTGTACATGACGGATGACAATATGCCTGCGCTGGAAGCCCTTGGCAGGTTGAGTTTGGGAGTTTGGGCCTCCGAGCTCGAACATGGAGCATGCGTTACAGCGCATTGGGAAAACAGGACATAACTGGGGGCATTGAGAGCGGCTGGTTACTGAAACTGCTCCAGAAACCTCAGATCTTTGATGGAACTGAGAAGTCACCGGAATACAACCTGACACCCTCGTCGCAGACCGGCCTGACCCGGTGGCGGATGCCTTGACATCTGGACAATGACTTGCCATCAAAGACACGGATGGTGGCTTGCGTGCAACAGTGTTGTTAGCACATGCGTTAATGCTACCACAACTGCTGTCTGGAATCCGAATCGTGACAATAGGGAGCTGAGATGTGTACCCTGGCGGCATGCCGTGTGGAGGTGGCCCAGCGTGAGGTGCATGAGGAGGCGGCGCTCCGTATGCATGCGGTGGCGGTCCATGAGGCGGAGCTCCGGGTGGTGGTGCACCGTGAGGTGGCATGCCATGAGGAGGTGGTGCACCATGTGGAGGTGGACCACCAGGTGGTGGCATTCCCGGTGGCGCACCATGAGGCGGTGGCCCAGCATGTGGTGGTGGAGCTCCGTGTGGCGGTGGAGCTCCGTATGGCGGTGGAGCTCCGTGTGGCGGTGGAGCTCCGTGTGGCGGTGGAGCTCCGTGTGGTGGAGGCCCAGCGTGTGGCGGTGGAGCACCGTGTGGTGGTGCACCCGGTGGCGGGGCACCGGGCGGCGGCGCACCTGGTGGTGGTGCGCCTGGTGGTGGTGCTCCCGGGGGTGGAGCGCCGAGCGGCGGTGCGCCAGGTGGCGGTGCGCCGGGTGGTGGAGCACCAGGCGGCACCCCATGCGGCGGTGGGTGTCCAGGTGGTGGACAGCCTGCAGGTGGTGGGCCGCTTGGAGGAGCTCCAGGCAGTGGCGGACCTGGGCCTCGCACCTCAGCGACAAGCGTGTGACAGAACAGCTGTCTGTCTTTCTTTAAACCTTTGAAATCTATATCTATACGCATCCATCCATCCCTTCCATTCCATTCATTCCCATCATCCCCATCCATGCCATCCGTCCCATCCACCCCGATACATCGCCCCCCTCCCATCCCATCCATCCCCATCCATTCCATCCCTCCCATCTATCCCATCCTTTCCATCCCTCCCATCCATCCATGCCTTCCCATCCCGTCCATATCTATCCCATGGATTCCAGCCAGCCCATCCATTCCATCCTGCCGACTGCCATCCGACCATCTCATCCACCTCCCCTCCCTCTCTCCATCCCGCCCTCCTGCCGTCCCTCCCTCCGTCCAAACGTACATAGTGTGCATGTGTCCATGTACACGTTTCTGCAATGCATTCTGACGGTGTGATGGAGAAACCTAGCGCAACAAGATTGTATGAAACAAACAAAATCGAAGTGCGACGACTACTAATTGAGAACTGACTTAGAGGACAACAGCCCCCTGCTTCCAGAGCATCCGACCTTCAAGCTACAGATTGAATACGGAGCCAATGGTACGGAGGTCTCCGGCGGGCACCGTGCCTTGAAATACACGCACCGCTCACGCTTGTTCCGTTTAGTTTGACCCTAACTGTGACTCGAACCACCACTCTGGTAATGGTAGAAAGCGGACGAAAACAAGCACCCCGGAGTTCTTCCGCTTGCCCCGTGTTCGATCTTCTTTTTGAGCTTTCGCATGCCGACCCAACAAATCGCCTTTGGCTCTTTGAGGCTCTCATCCAATCTCTCCTCGGGGCTCCGATCCCCCTCTGGATTGGTCCACTTCCAAGGCTCCAACTGTTTGGGAAAGCCCCACCACCCAAGCGCTCCAGCTTTCCCACTGAAGGGTCAGGAGAAGGTTTCCCTCCCAAGCTCCTTTGCCCGGCGTCTTGGGAAAAGCACCTGCGGAAAAGAACCTTCCGAGCATTTATTCAGAGAGATGGCGCCCGCAGCCCTCATCTGCTGAGAGGTGGAAGCCTTATCTCAACGTGTTCAGAACTCGGATGCGACTGCCAAGGCTCTCAGAGGTGACTCGTTCGGGAGTTCAAAGGCTTATAGGGCTTGACAGTCGAAGGCTTTCAAGGCTTAGGGTGTTTCGGTGCTCAACCCAGAGAATCCACAGATTCCAGAACGGATAAACAGCTGGGGCGAGGCACCATTGGCACACCCAAGGCCATGCCTCTTGCCACGCCAACCGCCTGAGCCGCGATTTGAGCCGCCGGGCCTGAGTGGCTGAGCAGCAAAAGCAACAGTACAGAAAAAATTAAAGTGATAGTAATAGTATTAACACAAGATGCTCTTATCGAAGTGATCTTGAGGACTCTGCCGTGGAACAGCCCACTCTTGAAGCAGACAACTGCACACCAAATAACGGAAGTCTGGAAGTCAGCAGCATTACTCGTACTAGTAGTGACGAAGTTAACTGAGGACCGCGACGAGGTGTCTGCTGAGATCGGTGATGGGCTAGCAGCTCCCGCGGCTGTGCTGAATTGGGGGATGTGGTCTTATTAAAGGGTAGACAAGAGCCTCCGGGCTTCCATGGCACATTTTTCCTGCCTTCACTTCTTTGCCTGGCCTTCTGCTCGCGAGTTTTGGGGCCTTGCATATGGCATTTTGAATAGGTCGCATGGTGGAGATACATATGACACATGTATGTACATACATACATACATACATCTTTTCTTTCGGACGCTGCAAAGAGGTC